CGGCGCGCGCGGGCTCCGGCCGGGCCTGGGCGCTGCAGTGACTTCCCGGCGTCCGGGCTCCTGGCCGGCCCTGGCGGCCTTTGTCTGCGGCCGGTGGGCGTCTGCGCCCGGTGGGCCTGCGCTGCCCGCGTCGGGGTGTCTGTCCCCGAGCGCCTCTGTGGCCCGCGGTCTCCCGTGGCTCCGTCTCCGTGCCCTTCCCCGTGTTTTCACGGAAAGCTCTAGCCCCGGCGTCCGGATCCTGTCGGTGTGTCTGGGCTCGCGCGTCTTCGTCTCCTCGCTGTCCCCAGGCCTCTCTCCAGAGCCTCGCGGTGCCCACCTCCTCCAGCCCCGAGCCTCCTTTGCCCGAGGCTGGCTTGGTCTCCATCTGCCCCCTTCCTCCCGGGTCCCGAGTGTCTGGTGGCTGAAGGCCCCGGCTCTGGACTCGGATGTGCGGATGTGGCAGGTGACTTCTGCACAGAACCTGGCACCCCAATGTGCGGCGCTTGGCAAGTGCCCGGGAGTGTCTGGGAGCAGAAGGTGCGGGGTTACTGGGCCTTTGGTTCCTGTGGTTCCTTGGTAGCATTTGATGTGTCATTTGAGCCCGCGTTGTGCGCGTCTGCACCTCAGTTAATCATTTTCTTTGAACGACCTCATTGGAGATGGCCTTGCTCTAAGCAGCGCCTGAAACCCTGCCTGTGTCGTGTGGCGGTCTCCTGACCCTGCGTGCGTGGGTCGTCACCCTCCGGGTGGGTCCGTGTCTGCCCTGATGGCGAGGGTGAGGGCAGCTCTGTGCTGAGCACCTACTATCTGTTGGCATGGAGCCAGGCCCGTTCTGTCCCGGTCTCAGCAAGCGAGCCTGCCAGGTGGGAGTTCTTTGCTTCCTTTTGGGGTTGGGCCAACGGCATCCCCAGGGCCTTGCCTGCTAGCAGTGGGCATGGCCGGGATTGGAGCCCCACTCTCACGGTCTTTTCTGTGGCAGCCCACTCTTCTGCCCTGTTCCCGGTCCCAGGCTCTGTTGTCCCCATGCTTCCCCTCCCTGTCTCCCAGTGTCTCAGGTGGCTCTCTCTGCCCAGGTCTCCCCAGGCTGCTTTCTCTGTCTCTCTCCTCTTTCTTGCCGTTTTCCTTCTTGGTACATGTCTCTTGACCCTGGTGTGCCTGACTGGGTCTGTCCCAGGACCCTGGGTGCTCCCCCACCCCACGCCCCCAGACCCATCTGTCTCCAGGTGCCTGGCTTCTGGCCCCAGCGGCAGGCAGAAACCCCCTCCGTCCCTGCTGTCCCCCAGACTCAGACCAAGGTAGAGCCAAGCCCTGCTCCTTCTGTGACTCTCTGGGCCCGGGTGTTGGGCTGTCTGGACGCCCTCCCTGTAAGGTGGCTTTGGAGCGGGTGTTGTCTCAAGGATTAGTTGCGGTCTTGTGCGGGAAGCACTTGGAGGTGCCGGCCCCAAGCCACAGCCGCGGCAGTGCCTGCTGTGGGCGGTTGCCCCATGGCCCTCTCCCTGCTCAGCTGCCAGCCGGCTCAGGTTTGCGTACTCCAGGCGAATCTGGATCTCCAGGTCTGGGGGGCCAGGGAGTCCGCCCAGCCATTGCCAGCGAGGGACCTTGGCTGAGGCGTGCCCTTCTGCAGGGCCAGGCCCTGTGCAGGGTTAGTGAGATAAGGTCCTGCTCAGTGTGCCTGGCACCCAGCTGGGGTCAGGCCCTGGGGCCATTATAGTCCTTATCTCTCCTCCTTGCGGCTCAGGCTCCCCTGCCCTTGGGACCTGGAACCTCCCTCTTGCTCCCATCTTACTGCCCTGGGGTGCCTGCCTGCCTGTCTCTAATCCACCGAAGGTCTCCTGCGGGTCCTGGTTTCTGCCAGTTTCCTGCCCCCTCCCCCTTTTCCTTCCTGCAGTGCACCATTTATGTGGTTTTTCCGGGCCAGCTTTCGGCCTGGACCTCCACTGGGTTGACCTTAGCCACAAAATCAAATATAAAGTCAGGAGGCAGCTGATCCCCGGGAGTGACAGCCATGGTGTTGGGTGCATAGTGGGGAGGTCTGAGCAGAGCCCTGGGCGAGTGGGAGTGTCGGGCCATGGCTGCCCGTGTTCACAGAGCACTCCTGCTCAGCAGGCCTTCGCAGGCCTTTGGGTTATCCCACGGAGCCCCATTTGACAGAGTTGGAGGCTGAGGTGCAGACACTCGTGGGTCACCCGGGGTGACCCAGCGAGGAGTGGTTGTGCTGGGGCCAGCAGGGCAGGCAACCCCACTGTGACCCGGACTTGTGTGCTCTGCCCGGCTGAGCAGGGACCGGCAAGAAGGCGCTGGCATGTTTGAGGAACTGAAAGGCGGGTGGGTGACTTTCGGCCGCCGCCTTTGGCTGCCACGGTTAGAAATCGTCCTCCACATCTAGGGCGGTGGGGAGCCCAGGAGGGGGCCCAGGCTCTGGGCAGCTCGTGTCCCGTTTGTTCTCAAAGGTCTCGTCCTCCCTCAGATGCGGTGACTTGCTGGTGCCCGCTGTGGCCTCCCTCAGAGTCGCCCGGGCAAGTCGGGGGCAGTGCCCCTCGCCACCTGCACCTGCACCATGTCGACCTCGTCCCTGAGGCGGCAGATGAAGAACATCGTCCACAACTACTCGGAGGCGGAGATCAAGGTCCGCGAGGCCACGAGCAACGACCCCTGGGGCCCGTCCAGCTCGCTCATGTCGGAGATCGCCGACCTCACCTACAACGTCGTCGCCTTCTCCGAGATCATGAGCATGATCTGGAAGCGGCTCAACGACCACGGCAAGAACTGGCGGCACGTCTACAAGGTCAGGTCGCGCCGTGGGGAGGCGGGCCGCGGCTAGCACGCTGCTTGTCTGTGCGGACCCTGTCTGCTGTCGCCTGCTCTCAACGAAGGTCACAAATAGGACACGTCGGCAAGTTTTGAGCCGTGTGGCCTAGGTGTGTCTTCCACAGCGGCCCTCTTGTAAGATTGGTGCAGTCAGACGGCACAGGAGGCCACGGTGCCATCCAGTCTGTGTCCCCTCCGTGCAGATGAGCCGCAGGCGTGTTAGGGCACAGGTGGTGTGCGCTTTGACCTCCGCCAACAGGGGCGGACCCTGGAGGGCGCGGCTGCTCGCTTCCAGAAGGTGAGCTTGGCGGCGGGCACCACAGCCTGGGGCCGCGGGCCTGTGCTGTCCCTCGGCAGTCATGCCACCGTCTCGCACTCAGCCCTCCCGGCAGGAGTGAGCCTCACCTGCTGGCTGTGGGGAGGGAGGCGGGGCTGTCTCTTGGGGAGTAAGAACTGGCACTGTCATTTTTGAGAGGTTTTTGTTATAGGGTGCAGACGCTCACCAGGGAGACAGAGAGACAGAGAGTGAGAGATCACCCCCCAGGGGGATGGCCACGCCGCAGTCCCTTCTCCTCCATTCTCTCCTTGAGATTTTGGGCATGCATGCACACATGCCTAGCGTGAATTTTAAGCTGCTGGGTCCGGGACTCCAACCATGGCCAACTACATGGGGGTCCAGCTTTGTAATCCTAATGCCACCTGCTGGGTCTAGAACCATCACTTGTTTATTTTTTCTTACCATGACAGGGTAACCTACCATCCAAGCTGACCGAAGTCCCTCTGACTAGTCTGCTGACAGTTCCCTGTAGAACTAGCGTGTCCTGTCTTGGTCTTACAAAGCCGTGCCATGACTACCGCACGTGCTCGCTGTTTCCTGGACCCGGAATTGTAGGGTCGGAGGACACGTGCACGTGTGATTTGGGAAGAGCAGCCGCCGTGGCCTCTGTGGAAGTGGCCAGTATGCGCCCCGAACGCTGCCGAGGCCTGCTGATCGCAGGCGACAGGCCAGAGAGAATGTGTGTATGGGTTTCCAGTTGGCTGCTGGCGGGCTAGGGGCCTGGCGCCCTCCCCGGTCACTCTGTTCCTCGAGTGGCCAGGGGCATGGGCCGGGGCCGGGCGGCTGGGCTAAGTGCCTGGTGGCAAGGCCTCAGGCTGGTCCCTGTCCTCCCTGCACGTGAGGGTCTGTGGAGCGGATGAGGGTCTGGCTCCCAGGCAGGGCTGGCCTTGTGCTGGGGCTCCCTGTGGCGCTGTTCCTGTGGAAGTCCCTGTCGAGGGCTGGCTAGATGTTTTGGGGCAGGGCGCACGAGGCTCTGTGCTCAGGACACAGCCCTGCTCTGGGCCCCTGTCCTGGCCGATCTCCCAGATGTCTTGCCAAGGCAGGGCAGGCTCCCTGGGCCCAGAGGTGAGGTGACAGCACTGGTGCTGGGGCCGGAGGCAGGCCTGTTCCGCGGCTCGTCTTCATGCTTGTCAGACACACTGAGCGGGGTCACAGCTCGGGTTGGGCCGTAGGCCGCGAGGTTGCCGGTCACTTCCTGTGAGTGCCGGGAGGCATTCGTCTGCTAGGAACTAAGGAAGGGCTGAGGGTGCGGTGCGCCCAACGGAGCGAAGAGCGGGGCCGATCCGGTGGGCTGGGGGACAGGCGTGTGTCCCGAGGTCCTTCCTGACCAGCAGCTGGGGGTGCTGTTCAGAGAGCAGCGGGGCAGCTTGGCTTGGCCCTGGGGTCTGGAGAGTGCCCCGCCGGGAGCTAGGAGGGATGTGCTGCTTCCTGAAGTCCGAGGGAGGTGGGCGTCTCTGCAGGAGGGACCTTGGCCCCTGTGGTCATTGCACCCGTCCTGGGGCTTCCTGAGGCCCCGCCTCCTGCTGTCTGTGTGGGGACCGAGTCCTGGTCAGACTGCCTGGTTGTCAAGCAGCTTCTTGGAGAGTGAGATTCAGGCCTGGAGCAGTGAGGCGGCCTGGCAGGTACCGTGGAATGCGTGAGGACACAGCAGCGGGCACTGCCGGCCACGGGCATTCAGGGAAGGTTTGAGGAGGGGCATCCAGGCTGGTCACTGGCCTCAGCCGACTTTCTGGCCAGGCTCTTTATCTGTCGGGTAGAGAGAGCGTGTGTGAGTGCATGTGTGCGTGAGGCCGTGTCACGCAGCCGTGTCCTCTCCCCCTCCAGCTCCTCAGGCTGCCTGTGCACAGGCATATTTTCAAGCCCACTTAGGGATTTGCACCTGTAGTCGGCCACGTGACTTCCACCTTGCAGGACACTTGGATTTTCAACGTGTCTCGATGTCCAGGCTCTAGTTTTAAAGAACAGCTTTAAGGCAGCTCTCCTGAGAGCCGGTCTCTGGTCTGTAGGTGCAGCTCTCTGGGTCCTGACCGATGCACTTACCTGTAACTGCCCCCACGGCCGAGGCACAGGATGTGAGCCTGGGCACTGCTGTAGTGATGGGGTGCAGTGCTTTACAAGGCTGGAAGCCACATGCCGGCTGTGGGTCCAGATCCTCAGGACCCAGGGCTGGGAGAGGAGCTTGCGGTGTGAAAGGACCCCAGGTGGGCTGTGCGCTCTGAAGTCTGTGTGCATGCGCAGGCATGCTCTTCAGCGTGTTTTAAAAAAGGACCCTGGGACCAGCAGTTAGCATAATGGCTATGTTGCTGGACTCCCATGTATCCGACCACGGTTCGAGTCCCGGACCTGGTGGCTTAAAACTCAGGCTGGGCGCGCGTGTGTGTGTGTGTGTGCCCAAGATCCCGAGAGGAGAATGGAGGAGAAGGGATTGCGGCATGACCATCCCCCCTGGGGGGCGATTTCCCGCTTTCTGTCTCTGTCTCTCTCTCTCTGTCTGGCGAGCGCATGCGCCCTATAGCAAAAATCTCCATAAATAAATAAATAAATAGGACCCTAACGGTCCCCCCAGCGTGAAGTCCTTCCCCGTGCCCTGCCCTGCCCTGCCCAGCCCACTCTGTTCTCTCCCTGCAGCCCGTGCCTGGCATGTGAGCTGCTGGGGCTGGGACTTGAACCCTGTCCGGTCCCGTGGAACCTGGCCTCTCCTGCACAGCATCCAGCACTGCCCTAGGGCTTGCCTAGGGTCTCCTTACCTGTGCTCCCACTGCAGGGCTGTGGCGGCCTGTCTTTCCTCTGGGGTGCTCCTGCTCCTCTCTGAGCCCGGCCCCCGTTCATGGCGGGATCCTACCACCTCTCACACAGAGCTCTGTGGCCTTCCCTCCTGGCGTTCTGGCCATGCATGTGCCTGGGAGCTGGGCCCATGTTGTCACGTGTGGCCGTTGGTTCTTGCGTGTTGTTTTCATGTAGCGGTGGTCCCGCTGCATGTGCCACAGCTCCATGCATCTCTGGGTCTGGTGTTTGGGCTGCAGCGCCCAGTCTTGACCCTCCCTGCCTGTCCAGAGTCCAGAGAGCCCTGCAAACGGAAGTTCTTCACGGGCCATTTGGCACAGAGCCTGACCTGGACCAACGTGAGGCCACCTGCTAATGTCAGTGGGTCCCACATGGGCCTGTCAGCGCGTCCACAGCTGCGGGCTTCGTGCCCCAGCCTTTTGGCCGGCGGCAGGCCTGGGTATGATGGGTAGGAGGCAGTTGGTCCTTCCCGTCCTCCGGGGTGGACAGTCCTCAGCCAGGCAGAGTCTGGCTGTGGGTCTCAGGTGGGAGTACTGGTCCCTCACCTTGGGGGATCCTAGCAAGCAGGTTGGCCCTTGGGAGGTGGGGAGACCTGGGCCCAGGACAGTTCTGGCAGAGCTCACGGCTGCATGCCAACTCCTCCCTCCCGTCCTGACCTCCTCTATACCTGCGTCCCCCTGCCCGATGGCTTTCTGTGACTCCTGAAGCCCTGGAGCCGTGAGCAGAGACCGAGACGCCTGGTGCGGGGGGCGGGAGCAGGCCTCGCAGTTCAACTGGCACGGCGCTTCGTCCTGTTCTGTAGTGACTGGAAAATGTGGGCCTGTCCTGGGACCCTGCCTGGGACCGTGACCGTTTCATTTATACTTTTTAGAATTATTTTATTTAAGGGTATTTACTACTATTATTTTCCAGTTTAGTCAGACAGAAAGTAAGCCATCAGGTCTAGGACTTGAACCGTGGATGGCCATGTGGGAGTCCAGAGCCTTTAACCACCACGCCACCTGCTGGCCCCCCATTTTTACTTTGAGACGAGAACTTGTTCTCGGGCTGAGAACACGAATGGAGCACGAGGTGTAGACAGCGCAGTGACGCCTGTCCGCCGGCCTCTCCCCGTGCCCTGGTCTCTGGCCCCTCATCTCCGGGGCTTCCCCCGCCAGCCCACACTGCCATGTTCAGGAGCGATGATGCGTCACACTCACGGGACAGGCCTGGGGGCCCCTGTGTGTGGCCCAGCAACGGCAGTCAGTGTTGTGGCCGAACTGTCGAACTTTAGATCCTAGTCTTAACAGAAGTGGGGCACCCAGCTGCCCTGCAGGTGGTCGGGGGCCACTGTGCACGGCTGGGGTTTGGTTCTCCACCGCCTGCACTGGCTGGGCGTTGGTGCTGCCCTGTCGACCCCAGCCCATGGGGAGGTGGGCGGGACGGTCTGCGGCAGACCGATGGGGGCGCTTCCTCCTCAGCCTCCCCACCCCAGGGAGGCGAGAGCATGTGCTCTGGGTAACAGGCGGGGTGCAGCCGCCGTCGCTGCTCCGTTCTGGGCCGGCGTAGCTCAGCGGGCTTTGGAGCGAGCCGCTTGGGGCTGGGGCCGTTGGTGCTGCTGCCTGGCTGCAGAACCGGCTCGCCGCGTCGCCAGCGTGGCTCTGCCGGGCCCACCCCCGAGCTCACAGCAGGCGCAGCCCTTCCCTCCTGCTGTCCGGGCGCAGGGTGGCTGCCCAGGGCCGAGCTGAGTGCCGGCCCCCCGCAGGCCATGACGCTGATGGAGTACCTCATCAAGACGGGCTCGGAGCGCGTGTCGCAGCAGTGCAAGGAGAACATGTACGCCGTGCAGACGCTCAAGGACTTCCAGTACGTGGACCGCGACGGCAAGGACCAGGGCGTGAACGTGCGCGAGAAGGCCAAGCAGCTGGTGGCGCTGCTGCGCGACGAGGACCGGCTGCGGGAGGAGCGTGCCCACGCACTCAAGACCAAGGAGAAGCTGGCGCAGACCGCCACGGGTGAGCCCACGGCCCGCGCAGCGCCTCTCCGCTCAGGGCCCGCCTGCCCCGCCTTGCTCCCCGCTCTGTGCCTCCGGGAGCCTGGTCCAGTTCTGCCGTTGCAGCTCCGCTCCCGGCTCTCGCCTCACCCCACAGCCCTGGAGGGCCCTTTGTATTAGTCACCCCTGGCCCAGGCTGGCCAGGCTCTAAGGGGACAGTGCTCACTCGGGGGCTTCCAGACTGTCCAGGGTCAGTGCTGGCGAGGGCTCTCAGGACCAGGTTGGGATGCCTTTGCAGGGGGCACCTTGCAGCCCCCGTGGGTGTGGCCCCCCCATCTGCTGTGGGTGAGAACTTAGTCCTGGTGGCCGAGGGCTGTGTGAGGCTCAGCCTGCAGGCCACAGCAAGGCCTTGGGTCTGCCTTCAGGGGCCCAGATGGCACTCCTGGGGGTAGCCCGGGTAGCAGGGCTCCAGCCAGCCTTAGACTGGAGCAGAGTGGGCAGGTGGTCGGGCCCGGCCATCCAGTGGTAGGACTGCTGGGGTCCGAGGCTTGTCTGGGGACACATTGTGGAGGCTCAAGATCTCAGCAAGGTCAGTGTAGCTGCAGGTGGTGGGTGGGACAGGTCCCCTGGAGGTGGTGTCTGCACGACACTCAAAGGAGCTGACTGGCGGGGTGTCGAGGCTGATGTCCGAAATGTAACGTTTGGGGGTCACTGCTCAGTGCCCACTGGCGATGCGGGGACTCGAGGTGTGGCGGCCGCGGAAGGCCTGCTGACTCCGGGGCCTGCGCAGGGCGGAGTTTCTAGCTGTCACCAGAGCTGCTGAAGCAGAGCAGGGGCAGCGGCTGCAGGACCGCTCTGCGTGTCTCGGGTCTCACTGGTCCCATGGCCTTGCCGGCCTCCTGCCTGGTCCTCGGCGTCTGCCTCGCCCCCCGCCTGTGGGCTCCTGAGCGGTGACCTCCCGCCCCTGCCTGTCCTTGTTTCCCCTCCCGGGAGGGGAGGCCAGCTTTGGCACGGGGATAGGCTGTGGTCCCTTCCTCAGGCGAGTGCACAGGGGTCGGGGAGGGGAGCCAGGGCAGTTAGGGGGTGCGGCCCGGACAGGCGGCCGGCCTGGGAAGGTGAGCCACGTCTCACCTGAGTGAGAGCTGCGGCCGGCCCGCTCGGCCGGGGTTGAAGGTGTGTGCAAGGCAGAGGTCGGGCCATGGGGTGTGGGCACCCACCTGGGAGCCCCGGAAGTCTGGAAGGGAGCCTCCCTTCAGGGTGACTCTGCCAGGTCACTTACCTACCCACCCTTGTTCCCTTTGTCCTCATTTGACGCCTTGGCTGGTCACCCCTTCCTTGTTTCAGCCATGTGTGCTCTGGCCTTGCTGGTCACGTGCTGCCTCCTGCTGGGGACACTGCCCCCGGTCCGGCCCAGGGCAGGTTGGGCCAGTACCAGCTGCGGTGTGGGGCGAGGCCGAGCATGGCCCTCCGAGATGACCTGGCCTGGGTAGTGGGGTTGGAGTGTGAGGTCTCAGCTAGAACCGATGGTCTGCTGTGGTGGGGGATGCTGGGACAGGGGTCCTGATTGGCCCTGGGTGGGGATCCACAGGCCTGGGGAGCTGAGCCGACACGTAAGGAGATGCTGCCCTGGAGTCCTGCCCACCCTCCCCGCCTCCTTCTGGCCACACATGCCCGCCCTCCCTTGTCCCCTGCTCCTGGACCCGTGGTCTGACCTGCTCCCCTCCCCTGAGTTCCAGCTGTGCCCTGCCAGAGTACACAGGCCCTGGAGGCTGAGGCCCAGGCCTCCTCCTGCCCTAGCCCAAGCTGTCGAGGCCTGGAGCTCGGGGAGGTGGGCCGTCTGTCCCCTGGGCCCTGGCAGGGCTCCAGGCCTGCAGGTCCAGCCCTCCACCCCTCATTGCAGACTGCTGGGCTGCCCTTCCTGCCAGTTTCTCCCACAAGGGGCGCCCTTCTCCTCCTGGCCTCCCGAGGTCTTGGGGTGGGGGCAGGGGGACCATGCTTCTCCCCAGAGTCACAGCCGGTCTCCCCCCGCAGCCTCCTCAGCAGCTGTGGGCTCGGGGCCTCCGCCCGAGGCGGAGCAGGCCTGGCCGCAGAGCAGCGGGGAAGAGGAGCTGCAGCTGCAGCTGGCGCTGGCCATGAGCAAGGAGGAGGCCGACCAGGTACCGGGCGCCGCGGGCGCACCCTCTGCCGTCCGTCCCCACCCTCGCCTCGGTCTCTGCGTCTCCATGCTCCAACCGCTCATCTTCCTGTCCTCCGTCCTTCCTCCTTCCCTCCTGTCCTCCTTGGGTGACTGTCCCCCCGCCCTGTGACACTGTCCTCTGGACTCTGCGTCTCTGCCCACCCACACTAGCTCAGGCGACCGACAGTCCCCTTCCTTCACCCCAGTGCGAACCTGGCTCTCCAGCCTGCCCCTGCTCTCTCTCTCCCCCCCTCTGCCTCGTGCCTGCTCTGTGGCTCTGGCTTTTCCTCTCCCCCGTCCCGCCCCTCACGCTGTCTCTCCCCCAGCCCCCGTCCTGCGGCCCCGAGGATGACGTCCAGCTCCAGCTGGCCCTTAGTTTGAGCAGAGAGGAGCACGATAAGGTCAGAGCCGCCTCCGCCTCCCCCCGCCCCGCAGGCTCGCAGGCTCACCAGGCCCTCGTGGGCCCCGCTGGGCTGCCCCGTGCTGAGACGCCACTTGCAGGAGGCTGGGATGAGGGACTGCGTCCTGCCTGGGTTCCTCGGCAGGGCCAGGCCTGGGCTGCCCCAACACAACCCCAGTCCCGTGCCCAGACCCCCGCTCCTGCCGTGTCCTCCCTGTCATACATCATCCACACCCGTGTGAGAGTCCGGCCGCCTTCGCTGGGGCGGGAGGGTGGGGTGGGGCTGCCTGGCTCACGT